TGTATATGTTAGACAAACGGATGTTTCTTTTTCGTAAGTGGACTTTTCTATTCTTTTTGGAAAGTTTTTCTCTTTGATAAGATGTGGCCTTTATATAGGCGTCCTAGGGTCAATGAAACGTGAAAGCCAATATTTCTTCAGATCTGTTTTTATGTATGTTCTTCTCCTTTTTTTTAAGCATCTAGAAAAATTCTCTTACGAAAAATGGTGATAATCCGTTGAAAAGAGAAGTCCTGCTGATCATAGAAAAGTGACGCATGAAGATAATAAAATTCACTTAATGTTCACTCAGTAAAAAGAAACTGGCACTGAGAAATATAAATGAGAGGTATATTATCAGAGTGTAACATACAGTTGGTGTTATTTTGGTTGAGTACTTCCACTAACGAACATTAGGTACAGTGGACATTTTCGGCATCTTTTGCAGCCCTCGTATGAGCAAAGGTGAGAACTTAACAGAACGGATCGCAAAATCGGTGTGCTGATTGAAAAATTTATACTTTATCTAATGTTTCTTTAGGTTAACGTTTAATAGTGAATGCAATTACAAACTCAAGTAAATTTAACCTTCCAAGCGTGGGTATATGTGAATGGAAAGAATTTCGTTTAATGAAATCAGATCATTTTGTTGATTGAATGCAAGAGACTTAGTAGTTTGTATGCTGAATCAAATGAGTAGTTAACCATGGAATTGTAAATTATATGCCCAATTTAAATATCAACTACAAAATACTTCATCTGTTGAAAAGTTCAAAGCAAAAGAATTGTATCATGTTGGATAATGGAAAATGGCATAACAAACTAACTGAATTCAATCTAATTACATCGGAATCACCAAATTTAGATAAGTATATGATTAGTTGCAACAGCATCACGTGTCTTATCTTATAATCAATATTCAATCGAAGAATTTCTTGGATGAAGTCATGCATATGCTCCACCTCGAGAATATTTGGTCGATCATGCTTTTGCACATTTTGATGTTGGAATTTTTAGATGACCAATAAAATATTCTACATTAAAGCCGATAGAAACAGTCTGAGTCTGTAACTTTCTTTTCTCAATAACCGTCTTTATTAGACTGATTCAGCTTATATATTTTGGAAATACATCTCTTACATTTCACAGATTCTTTTAAATTATTTTGTCTAAGTATATGAATGAGAAATTACATCTGAGATCAAGAAACATCATACAAATTACAAGATATTCAGGGATTAGCTAGTATTCGATTAACTACTTGGAATGTATTAGGATCGGCTGAGGGTTTTCTTTAACAGCTTACAAATATGAAGCCATATATAAGAAAGTTGATTATAAGATGATTAAGTTTATCGAAGCAAAATCAGTTGATATTGATGATGACGATGAATCTGACCTTAGTCCATATGAAGATGATTTTAGTAATGAGAGCGACGATGAATAACCAGCTTACAAGGTTCAGAAAACACACTTGTACTAAAACGAAATGACAAGCTTATGATCAACGTCCTAGTGTCACGGACTCAAAGACAATAATCATTCAGGAAATACCCTCATCTATTCGTCGAAGAAAAGCCATGCAAGTGAAATTCAATTGCATATCAAAATAGCAAGAGTTAGTCACATATTTGGTAAAAGTTAACGCAGTGAGCTGGAATCAGTAAGTTACATTCTTGCTGAAGTGTATGCAGAAATATATTCGAACCTCCTGCATTTATAATACTTAAGGTCTAATGAGATGAAGACTTTTGTTGACTGCTGTATTTTTCTAGACATTGGTAATGTATCTAAACAAAGCTAATAGATATAAGAAAAAAGTCGATTGAGCTGTATATGCTCTGTGGAATGAAGGAAAATTGCATCATCTGAAAAACATTTAACATTCAATAAAAAAAACGCCTTTCTTTTCGTTTCTATTTGCTTTTACTGTAACTAGAACAATAGTAAATATAAATAAGAAAAAATTCAAAACAATTAAATCAAATGTCGTCTCATTTCTTTGAGTCCATCACGTGTCATTGCAGCTGATTTTGGTGTAAAACCAAGTTGAACAACAAGGGATTCTTCAAATTCTTCATCGTTGCCACTCATCATATATCTGGATAGTAATTGATGAGCCATTATAATTCTTAAATTAAAAACAAAAGCAAACAAAATAATAAAAATTTATGTCATATATTGTCATACCCTTGTTTTTCACATAAATCTCCATGTTTTGGACCAATACCAGGCACACAAGTTACAGGTTTGATGGTCAATGGTTCATTAGCAAACGAGCACTTAATAATGTGAAAAAAGTCTTTCTATGTCATATTGATTTCAATCAATTGCTTACGTGTTTTTTTGTACAAAGACGTGGTGGATCATCATTATATGAATTCATTGGTCTAGTTAATGCTCGTCGAGCTAATTGATTTATTATCGCTTTTGTTATTTCTTTCTTACCAAATAAATCATTTAAATCATCATCAACATCAACTTTAGCTGTGTGTTGTTTAACAATATCCTCGATCTTCTCATCATTAGGTTCATGTGGCTTAGCAAGTTCCTTTGGTTGCTCAACTGTTTCTTTATTCAAACGTGGAGCTTTTATTTGATTTTTAATAGCATTTTTCTTTTCATCACCACCACAACAACTTATATTGATAGATGTTTGTTGAGAATTCATACTTGTTATCCATTCATTAACATCACGTAAAAAAAAATTACTAGGTTGATGATTTTCTACAGTTGGTAATTTCGTTATTGACCCTTGTGACATCGTTTCTTGAGAATTTAGTTGTTGTTTTATATTTATTTCTTTACTACGAGAACGATTACTACGAAAGAATGAACGAACATTGGACGACATAAGATTGAAAGCAGTAAAATAATGATTAAAAAATATTCGTCAATTAAATGAAGACAATCTATAGATAGGTTGCTAAGATGTAATATTAGTTACAAAATATTATTACGAATAAGAAATCATTTTAAAAACTTTTCGTATTTCTTTTTTTATTTTATAAAATTATATCGACATATATAATGTAATAAACAGAGCATGGAACCAGTATATGAAGTCCAAATAAACCAATAAAACTGATAGACTTAATTCAGCCTGTGTTCGGTAAAATGGCATTAGATATTGCAAAAATATAAAAGTTAGATTCAAACCGTTATAATAGACCTACTAAATGTAATTGACATCTTAATTTTTAGATGATCTATTGTTAAAAATGAAGATTTATCAACGAGACGACTAATTTTCGAATTTTTTCATCATCAACTATCAATCATGTTACCCAAACAATCAATTGTCTGCTTGCAACTATTCAAAACTTAAAATTTCACTTTTGAGATACGAAAGATATTGACAAATGGATTTAAGTTTGGTAATGTAGAGAACAGAGCTACCGATTTGACCTGATTTATCTATATAACATTCAGTCTGATTAACAAACCAGTCAAGTCTAAAATTGTTAGAGTGACAGTTACGTTTTCGACATCAAATTTTGATGCATTGCCTTATTATGCAAGTTGTAGTTTGATAAATTTATTCAATTCCAGCAACAAATTCTTGAACCGAACGCCAATTAAATTTTGTAAAACTTACGTTGACTGATAGAAAAACCTGTTTAGATCCAGAAAAAAAGTGGCTAGTAAAATTTTCATTCATGCTGTTGCGAAAACTGATTTTTAAATGTCCATGTCCTCGCCTATTATCATATACATCACTTATACCCAAGATGTTTGTTGTAGATTTTCTTTTAACTCGTCCGTGTATGTCCGATCATATTTTATTTTCGCTATCATCATTACATTTTTTCGACTATGCGAGCTAGTACTGACATGATCAAAAAATTTGTGTTAATTGAAGTCTTTTTTATATGAAAAAATACTTATGATGATTGTTTCTTTGTTTTACTTTTCTATTTCATGCAAGAAGTTGCTATTTGCTTACCTTTATGGAAATAAACTAAATGAGCAACTAAAACCAGAATGAAAAATTAATGCAGATTTATAGAATTTTACGTATGCGGAAAATCAGCAACATTGATCGACCTGCCTTGACCTGCACGTATATAGGGCCAGACCAGCTCAGATCAGAAAAAAGTGACCTATCAAGAGCTCTGGCGAGAAATATGTTAAATAAAGTAAAATGAAAGCAAACTATTTCAGTATTTTGTTATTTATTTTGCGTTATTCAATACACGTGAAGTTAGCAAAACCATAACAACAACTTTGATATATTTCAAACACGATAACGTACCTATCGATTATTTATTTCGAATATGTATGATAGAGATGATAACCAACTCGATGGTTAATGTATGCGAGGTGTCAATGTAATGAACGATTTTTCGTCTTAGTGAAACCTAGAAAAGTTTACGAATATTGACTAGTGAAGAACTTTTTTCTTTCATGCAGGCAATGCATTGATAAGTGTTGATGAAAGTATTTAAATCTGTGTTAACTCGTTACGGTATGTTAGAAAGACAAGAAAATACAAACTATATATAATTTTATCGTAAATGAACTTCGAGACTTTATTAGTTGTTATTTAAATATAGAGAAATTTGTCGAATTAGTAATTTTTAGAATAAATAATTACATCTATTAGAAACAAAATTGTGATTATCTTTTGTCAAGTTTTTACGAGGCTGCCAACTATTAAATTTTTTTGAATGAGTTTATAGGGATTAAACTGTTGCAATATTTCTTTCTCTGATTTTGTAATTTAGGATTTAATGAATTTAGTCAAATTATCCAACGTATCTATTAATATTATACAACACATTCTGAACTATAATAAAACAAAGGTAACAGTCTAAAGAGATAATTTTAATCCTCATCGAAGGTCTTCGTCTGCATTTCTTTCTATTTGATGATGAAATAAACTGTTAAGCACATTTTCAAGTTTGATTTTATAATTTTGGTTAAGCATTAGAAAAAACCATCAACCCCTTTATCTATTATAACACACTGAATACGTTTTTTTTTGGAAAACAAAACACTACTTATATATGGCCCATTTTTCAAACCATATCTTCAGGTTTGACATATTTTTCAAATTGTTCTTCTGTTAAATAACCAAGAGCCAACGTTGCTTCACGTAATGTTATTCCTTCTGCATGTGCTTTTTTTGCAATTTCTGCTGCTTTATCATAACCAATATATGGATTTAGCGCTGTCACTAAACAAAAATCAATATATGTATTAAAAAAGAAAGAACAAAATTCTCCTCTATCATTTACCTAACATCAGTGATTCACGCATGTAACGTGTTAATACAGATGTATTCGGTAAAATTCCTGATACACAATGAGTAGTAAATGAATTACAAACATCAGCAAGAATTCTTATTGAATGAAGAACATTTTTAATAATCAATGGTTTAAAAACATTCAATTCAAAATGTCCCATTGAACCACCAACCGTAACAGCAACATGATTACCCATAACTTGTGCAGCTACCATTGTCATAGCTTCACATTGAGTTGGATTTATTTTACCAGGCATAATTGAGCTGCCTGGTTCATTTTCCGGTAATATCAATTCACCTTAACAAAAAAATATATATAAAGAATTTTCGATAATGCCTAATGATAAATTGTCAGCGACATTTTTTCATCCTTTTTCTTGATGTTGAAAGCTGAAATTTTTCTCATATACGTGTATATATATATATATAACCAAGATCTGTAATTTTCCAAATAATATGAAATGTTGATCGCACAGTTCGTAGTATATTTAATGAACGTATTGAATCAGTAGATAGCTATGCTAAGTTTTCTGACGAATGAAGAACTGAAAATGTTTCTTTAATTGGTTCCGAAAATTGTGGACTCGACGGGCTTTAGTATTGAACGAAAAAGTTTGCAAAAAAAGTGTTTGATATGTCATTACAATTAGAAAAAATAAGATACACAAGACCGAAGGAAATTTTCGAAAGAAAAATGTGCAAAAAAAGATAGATGAAATACTTTATCAATTACAATTGGTCGTAGAAGTCAATAGAAACCATATTCATACACATAGAGCTTTGTTATAATTTTCGCTTTTGAAAAAATTTGTCTTGTAAGGTTTCTTTTCATCAGATGGATATAACTATCACTGGTCAATCAATAAAGATGTTACAAAAATCAAATAGAAAAATTCATGTGTTTTTATCGTATTCGTGCATTTTATTACTGGTTTTAGTTAGAGTACTGAAACTTTGGAGATTCAAAGATCTTAGTTAGATATCTATGTAACAAAAATTTCAGCCTTCAACATCAAGAAAAAGTATGAAAAAATATTGTTGACAAGTTATAGCATCAGTTATTATGAAACATTCTTCATTCACAAATAATAATAAATAAATAAAAAAATACACTTACCTATGCCACAACGAGGTCCTGAACCCAAAAGACGTATATCATTGGCAATTTTCACTTTACATAGAAAAATAATAGTTTCAAAAAGAAAACTAGGTAATAATTTTTATCTTACTCAAACTAACAGCTAATGTATTAAGTGCACCACTTACTTCAACCATGGTATCATGTGTAGCTAATGCTTCAAATTTATTTGGTGCATCAACAAATCGTAATTGAGTAAGTTCATTCAAAGTTTGTGCTACAAATTTTCCAAAATCTTTTGGTGCATTTATTCCAGTACCAACAGCTGTTCCACCAATAGCTAATTCATATAAACGTTTTTCACAAGTTCTTAAACGCTCAATTGCCATAGCAACTTGATGTGTATAAGCAGAAAATTCTTGTCCAAGTGTCATGGGTACAGCGTCTTGTAAATGTGTTCGACCAATTTTATAAATCGATGAAAATTCTTCAGATTTCTTTTTTAATGCACTATGAAGATATTTCAATGCTGGATATAATTGACGATTTAATTCTAATACAGCAGCTATATGCATAGCTAAAAAAACGAACAAATTAAAAGTTTAGAAAAATAGAGAATCCATTTATGAGATAATTCTACCAGTAGGAAATGCATCATTTGAACTTTGACTTTTATTCACATGATCATTTGGATGAACAGGTTTCTTGCTTCCCATTATACCACCAAGAATTTGTATTGCTCTATTTGAAATAACTTCATTAACATTCATATTTGTTTGTGTACCGGATCCTGTTTGCCAAATACTTAATGGAAAATGTTCATTTAATTTTCCATCAATAATTTCATCACATGCTTGTGATATAGCATCAGAAATTTTATTCTCAAGACCAAATTGTTTATTTACTATTGCACATGCTTTTTTTAATAATCCACATGCTTCTATTAATGGAAACGGCATACGATCTAAGAAAAGTCAATTTGAAAAACAAATCACTTATATAAAATATATTTTTATATTTACCAGTTGGTAGCCCAATATTAAAATAAATCATTGAACGAGCTGTTTGAGCTCCATAATAATATTTAGATGGTACTTCAATTGGACCAAATGTATCTGTTTCCGTACGTGTTTCTGTAGTTGATTTCTGAACATCATCCATTTTTTTAATCTTATCGTATGAAAATATTTTGCTTTTTTTCGTTTCTCTTTTCTTATCATAGATGAATCATGTATATGTTTACCTGATTATTTGTTGGTTAAAATAAGAGGTCGCGGCAAAGGACACTCGAATGTATTCATTTGAATGATCCAAATACATATCAGAAAGAAATCGAGTCTATATTGATTGTTTATTTCACTTGAAAGAACTAGACAAAAATTATTTACATAAAATATAATAACAGTAACAATACAAATATTAGAGATTACACAGTATATAAGAATTCATTAGACAAAACAGTTCAGACAAAAATTTATACATTTAAACAGATGTTTGTAATTGAGGTAAAAGATGAGCAAGTTGTCCAATAATATCTTCACAACATAGTTTATAATGCCATGCATTTCTTTTAGTACGTTTACGTTGAATACCTAATTCTTTGCCTTATACAGCAACTATTTCTAAATTAAATTCTAATACAACTTTATCCCAATCATCTTCAGTAAATACATCATACATAAAATGACTTCTAAATATTTTTAAAAGAATATCTCTTGAGTTAGTTTAATAATATAATAATCTTTATGTACCTTTTTTCTTTATATTTAAGGTGAGAATTAAATTTAATAGGTTGTTCAAGTAAATCACATAATTGATCAGGATTATCGAAATTTAATGATGTTATATTAGCTGTTTCCTAAAATTTAAATAGATAAAAATCATTATGAGGCTATAAACAATAAATTATATACCCAAGTTTTTCTTGGTTTATTTGCATTGAGTCGTTTTATTGTAAGAATTTGTTTAACAGTATTTAAACCACGTTCAAAACTACCAAATAGTGAATGAACTTTTTTATTTTGACATTGCGGTGTAAAATATACATCTAAATCATCACTGTTAATAGCGTCCACTGGAAACGCTTTACAGAAAAAATAATAAATCATTATTTAAAAGATGTTAGAAAATCGCGTATGTATCCGACGATTACAGAAATGAATTGGCTATGCATTTCTGAATAAGCCTCAACTGTAATTATAAAAGAAGAATATTTAAACTTCAACTGGAATCTGTCAAAAAGACGTAATCCCTATCATTCTATCTATACTAGGGATTCATGAAACTGAAACTAAGGATTATAGTTAAATATTCTATGGTTTTAAGCGATTTATTTTATAAATCATATCAATCAGAACATGATTCAAATGAAAGATCTGAAAAGTACTAGTCATCAGCTAAATAAATAAAGCAAGTATTGATGAATTTCTTTTAGATGTGATACGAATAAATTATGAAATAATTTTTCTCTAGACAGGAATCAAAATAATTTGTTCCAGAACATCTCTAATCTCTATAGAGTGAAGTGGACAGCCGTATAAAATTATTATCTTGCAGTTGGATTATGCGATCGTCCGATATATTGTCCGTATGATAGTATTCAGTACAAAAAAAAATATGTACTTTAATGCTGATGTAATTTTGGAATCATCAAGATTATCATCATCAAGACTGTCATCAAAAGATTTTGAAGCAGTAATACGATGATCTATAAAGAAAAACACATTAAGAAATTTTTGTTCAGAAAATGAAAAACTCATCACCTTTCTTTTGATAAATTCGTCTTGATCCACTAAGTGACTCAGCAAATAACAGGATTCGTTGACAATTAGGTGGTCTAAAGCACAAAACAATCCAAGCTTATATTTCTTTGTTCAGTTGTTTTATAATTTTTACTTGAATATCGATTCTTGACATTGTGTTTGTAAATTTTCAGTATTTTCTTTATTTAGTGTTTTATAATTATGATATTCCTTATTTGTTGGTATCGTTGATTTCACTCCATTGGTAAATGGTAAATGTGTTTTATCTTGTTAAGATATAAGAAGAAGGTCAGCTGGTGGTAGATGTTTATAATTAATTTGTGATAGTGGATTTGATTCTTGATTTTTTTTCACGAAATAAATTCGATGGAATAAGATTTGATTGTTTCTGGTGTCCATTGGTAGTTTGACGAGCGATCTATTGTATATGATTAGGTAGAGATGTATTGATTTATTTTGTGATTTAAAATTCAATAAAATGAAATATATCGCTGTCATATGATCATATCGTTTTTAGAAAGGAAACGAAATCGCTTTTTTTCTAGGTTTTGTTAATTCAATAAAATATAGTCGACATACATAAGAAAGATCTTGTGCAATATCATTTATAGTTCGGCCATAATATAAAGCCATTTCACTTATACATAGTAGATCTAATTTATTCTATGAAAAGTCAATGATATTCATTAAAGAATTAAAAAATTCAACTATACTTCATAAATAGATTCTCATTTGGCAGGTTCAGTATAAACATGATTTATAAGTAATGAATGACAAAGAAGATCATCTATACGAATTCGTTTAGTTGGATCAATTTGAAGCATAAGACGAAGTAATGCAACACTTTCTTGTGATAAATATGATGATATATGATAGATAACATTCTGAATAAGAAAAATAATCATTATTAAACTCTAGCTATTTTCTATTCCTTTGATTTTGATGTTACTTAAATTTTAGCATACATTGATGCTACATTTTCATCATCAAATGGAAGACTGTCACATAATAGTACATAAAGAAGAACACCAAGACTCCAAACATCAGCCTAAATTTAGAAATAAAAGAACGCATAAATTGTTTTTCTTCATAGGACTTCATTATCTATGAATAAGAAGCTTTAACTAATAGTTCTGATTAAAAACACTTCAAACCAATCATAAACACTATGTTTTGTATAATTAAAACTGCACGTAATATAAGAAGGATGAGATACTCTAATAAGATAGCAGTGCTACGAATGAATTTTAGAAATTTTAAGCTGATTCAGATCTATATGGATAAAAACAAGAAAAAAGTATGTGTAAAACAGTTCTTCGATTTTTTTTTCAATAGTATCGCTATATGACAGAACATGAAGATTTGCTCGAAAGTAAAGTTAGTAATAAATAGAACAAATAGGAATAAATTATACTACAAAATACTCATGTCAAATAGTTATGTTGTAGAATGATCTTTGATGAAAGTATTGTCTCTTCATTTGTAGAGATCTTTGATCTTCTTTTAGCTGTACACTGATGACTGCCATTGCCATACGAAATTCAAATCTTTTCGTATTTTAATCATTCTCTTTTTTAAAACTTGTAATAAAATAAAATTTCGTCATACCACGTCACCTCGATAATTCGTTCCAACAAGAATTTCCTACAAAGATAAGAAATAGAAATATAATAACGAATTATTATAAATTTGATTTAATATGTTTACCGGTGCAGCATATGCTGGACTACCACAAGCTGTACCTAAATATACTAAATTAATGTCACCCTGCAAATAGATATTATATAAAAATCAATTGATTCTCGTTTCAAAATTACTTTTGGTTGAGCACACAAACCAAAATCGATCAATTTAAAATTTTCTTTATGATCAAGTAATAAATTTTCCTAGAATAGAGATGAATTAGTCGATGTTTTTTGATCAATATCAAACGCATACTGGCTTAAGATCACGATGACAATAACCTTTTTGATGCATATAAGCAACAGTTGAAACAATTTGACGAAAGAAATATCGAGCTTGTTCTTCGGATAGATGATTTCGATTGATAATATAATCGAATAATTCACCATTACAAAAATACTATAGTAATAAATACAAGAGGAAAAAAAAACATTAATTATCTCCAAATAATAACACAAAACAATTGAAGGAAAATACTTATAAGACTAGAAAATAATATTCATTCTTTTCAATAACTTGATAAAGTTGACACATATGTTGATGACGCAAATCTTTCATTGCTTTCAATTCTAGTGCAATACGAGCTAGATCACTCTGGTACGGAAATATTCAAATGAATGAAATGAAAGAACAATTAAGTATGACAAATAATTGCTTACACCTAATTTAGCTTTATCAACTATTTTAATAGCTACAAATTCGCCCGTAAGTAAATGTATTGCTTGTTTTACTTTGTCAAACCCACCATTACCGATTGTTTTCAGCAATTCATAATAACCAATTAGTGATAGATAAATAACTTGTGACATTTTGTCACCACGAAATCAATACATACAGTTCCTTGCTATATAATCGGTTGTTCACAATCCAATCGTACATATTTCTAATTATTCAATTGATTGTTTGTAGACGACATCTGGCATTATTTATAAGATAATATGGTGTGATTATCTTTATTATTTATTGATTGATATTAATATGCATATTTCTTCAATCGCCTCTAAGTAAAATTTAGAAACGTTAGTCAATATCATATTGTCTCTTTTTATAAAAAAATCAATATTAGATATTGATTGATTTAAGTATTACACAGATCCCTTAAATGATTTATCTGATAGTTCATATTTTATTGGTAGAATGACAATAAATGTCTCATAAAAAACAGATACTTTAGTAGTTCACGATATTACTGAAAGGATACATATTTCTAGGATAGACTGAAGTAGATATCAGTGAAAATTAAGATTAAAGTGAAAGCTTTACCTTAGTTCATTTTTTTCGAAAAAATCTCGGGAAGTTTCCTAGAAGATTGATGAAATTGCGCAGGAACTCATTCACCGTTTTTTTTGCGTCTATAGCTACATATAAGATAATGGAGATTCAAAAATAGTAGTTGCTGTTTTTTAAGGCTAAGTCTTATCTAAATGATAAGCACCATTTAAAACTTCTGTATGAGCCCTCCTCAAAGATAGCTCATCGTTTTGTCGTGAGTTAATATTTAATCTGAACAACTCGTCTACTGAGACGAGGCCAACTGAACGATTTAGGTACAAGACTCTGGAAGAATGACGAATAGTTTTGTATAAAGTGGATTTCGGTTGAGAAAAACTTAGCAAAGCAAAATTATTTTGAAAACGAGTACAGTAGTTGACTTAAGTCCCTATCATTTTTTTAATGGACTCTCTGAGAAATCTTTAAACTTTCCGGAAAGTCCTTAACAAGTTTTTGAGGATCTCTTTTATGATTCTCTGAGTATTCTTTTACAGATTCTTAGGAGCTTCTAAAGATTTTCTTAGAGAAAATGGACAAGAGCTGTTGGGTTTAGAGTACGATCAAAGACTATCAGCATTAAGCTGATAGAGGTAAGTATTGTGATATGTACAAGAAAAAATAGATCTTCAGAGTGAAAGAAGACATAATACCACAGTGTTTACACAAATAGTTGTGATCATTATATATTATCACAAAGAGGTTTTCATCCATCACAATTTAGAAGACTTATGATGACACTATTTCCTTTGGTTGAGACGAACATTTTCAAAAAAATTAATGTATACCAGGTCAACCAATAGTAATAAAATAGCCAATTAAATCATCATAATTATTTTTTTTGTACATGCAAAATTTACAAAGATTAATCAATTTATAAAGCTCATTAGGAGTGTCAAATTTCTCGCTTCTGATTGCTCTGGCAAATTGAATGCCTAATTGACTTTCATACAGCTTCTTGTTGTTGTAATTACTTCGCGTTTATGAAACAAATTAGTGACCATATTGTTTGCAATACAAAACACGGAATATTTAGCGCCTAAATTAACTGTAATTCTAGTATGATTATAGTTTTCTACGTTAAACGCGTTTTGTAAACTTAATTTATAATTTGGTCTTGCCCTTTTCCATGTAGTTTTATTATTGGCTTCTTTCGATAGAGTTAAATGCCGCGAAAGAAGTTTTTAAACTAATAACAGCAGATGGCTTCAATTGTTTTTACTTTTAACTTTCAATTATGAAGGCATTAAAAAAATTCATTTTTTTTTGAGTACAACGTGTCTTCAAATCAAGTATGTTGATCAATTAATACTGAATTCTAATAATGTTTTATGTTGAAAAGTTATTCATCAACGTATGAATAATACCTTGAAGAAGCCCACCATACAGTAGATAACACTTGAATATTTTTTGAGCACATGTCTTTCAAAGAAGTTATTCTACATTATAACCATTTCTTCTTTCAATATCTATACTAGAGAAACGTTTAAATATAATCTATTAAAATTACATGTGAAGAGGAACTATGATAATGTGGTACACATTTTTTTCTCAGAGAACGTGATGTACTGTTTGTTGATTGTTTGAACGAAGCGAAGTAAGCGTAGAATAAGGTGCAGTATGGTGGTGTGGATATAGGAAAAGTAGTCACGTAACATACTCTCATTCTACCGTTATTTTCTAATCATCGTCGCTACCTGCTCGTTCATTTCTTCTTTTTACAAAGTAATCAACAGCAAGTAAATCCGCATGCGAAAAAAATCACTAATCGGGATGCATTTTGTGTAATCAACGGATATCAAATCCAAGAACAGTAAATCGTGTAAAGCCTTCTTCTAACGTGCAATTGTCATTAAAAGTACAGTAAAGCATCATATCTCGTTTTAATGATTTAATTTAGTTGTAATCGAAAGGCACAATAGAAATGTAAAGTGATAAACAAAATTGAAATCTAGATGCGGTCAAGATTGACTGCCTTTGAAATTACAATCGGTTAGTGTGGTTAGAAGTATATCGCAATCAAAATTGTTCATCTTGGATTCAACAGAAATTATAAAATAGGGCACATAGATTGTTAAAATGAATGTCTCTTTTGAGGAAAGAATCGATGATGTTTTTTTTTGTTTTTTTTTCGACACGTTTTAAAATTACTTTTTAATTAACCCAGGAAAATGATTCTGGCTCCAGGGTTCGTGTTATTTCGGCGAGAATCCGCAAGAAAATATTTTTTTTCTGTCGGAAGATCAGGGGAAAGATAGGAAGTTGGAAGCAGGGATCCAATGACTGGATCTGGCATCCGGATATCCTAGTTCTAGCCAGAAAGGACAGTAATCAGACAAAGTCGGCTACCAGATGCGCTCATCGGATTTCTGCTACCAAGTTTCGGTTAATTTCCTATGTTTTCCAGCAGAAAACGGCCCGTATTTTTTGACCTGAGAACAAACTATCAATTTTTCGCCAGAGTGCAAAAAAAAAATTATATGGTTTTTCTATGAAATATTTTTCAATTTAAAGATCTCATTGATACAAATTTGAATTGGATCGGACTTTACTTTTACATTTTTAGCATAACATCAAGAGCGAACATATCAACTTTCTGGAAATTAAAATCACCTTTCCATCTAAAAAACACTCGACTTATCAATCATCTTCCATAAGATTAACTATATATTTCGGTATGCCTTTTAATGATCTTTAACTTTATAATGCTACTTTCTTATAAGTAACCCATTTTGCGATTTTATTTGTTTTTCTATCGCAACACATGCATAACATTTTTCTTCTCAATAAGATTGTCCACGTACTACTTGGCTCAAATTTCTCTTCTATTGATATTGAAGTTAATCGATGAACAATAGAGGAAATCACATACAAAATTTGTTCCAGGCGAATATCATATCTTTGTAAGGAGAAGAAAAACAAGAAGTTGACGTATTACTAGGATCATTATTATTGTATCATATTTATTTGAAGTCTTTATTTATGGAATTTGAGATATAATCTGCAAATTTTATTAGATTATTCTTTTTTAAGAAATTTCGTGTTTTGAATCTTGAAAAGCCAACAACAAACAATAACGTAATATTAAATGCTGTGATAGTACGTACAGCTGGTTTTAACACATACGTACTTAATTACTTATACGAGAAATAGAAAACTAAATCCATGAAATATACATTGCAAGATAGTTAATAACGGTGGTATACATGTTCTGCAGAAAATTCTGATCTCTAGGTCAGATTCGTACGAAAAACAAAAACAAAACCCTGTGAGCATCTTTGATCGCTGTGTCAAAAGTAGAGAAATAGATAGTTTCTTTTCTATTTCTTTTCACTTACGTTTTCTAAATACTACAAAGGATGATAATCATCTCAGATCTGAAACATTAGCATCAAATAAAATATTTAAATGAAAAAAAGAAAACTGTTTCATTTTCAGCACACAACAACATTTATCTCTAAGTATTAGGAGATCAGTAATTTGTATATATATATATCACGTTGATAGATACTTGAAATCTTATGATAAATAGAAACTAATAGAAATCGAGTGTTTGGGCGTTAAACTTAGAAATAAGTTTTATGTATAACCTGTTCGAATTCTATTTCCCGTTAATACATTATGAAAAACTGTCTGTGTTCTTCAAATAAAACCACACCTCGAAAAATTGTGAATATCATTAAGTGTTATGTATTTGGAAAAAAATAATAAATAATTCACAAAAAATTAAAAGACTCTACTAAATAGATTTCCAATATGTGACAGTGTTAGAAAAACTGTTTTAAAGCATGAGATAGCATTGGTTTAGTTCATTAATTTTCAAGAGAACAAAGGGACGATATTATTTATTTTTATTATTTTTTTCATGAGTATATAAATAAGTTTAATTTTGTTTAATTCGTAATAAATTTTGATAAAAAAATATTTGGACAACGTGATACGTAAGGTCTTGTTCTTTAACATCTAATTATTCGTGACATTATTGAAATCATGTCTCATACTGAAATGAGAATAATCAAAAATTCTCAACATTCTTTTTTCTTTCGGTATTTCTATACAATATGTATATCTTCGGCTTCACTTTGTGTTATTTTTAATTGAAATAAGTGTATGCGTATACAGAGGTGTATGCTAAGGAGTATGTTTATCGTGTAGAAGAGCCTTGCTTTCTCCGAAAAAGAATGCATGTAAATGTAACCATGTAATCAGTGTTATTTAACGCCCTCTCTCTAGCTAAAATGCCACGTATATTTTCAATCCAATAGTGACCCTGACTGACTTAAGAATGAAAATAATATGCAACAAGGATTGGTTTTTTGTCAAGCAATACAATCGACATGGATAATATATTTTCAAGCAGCGCCACTTTCTAGGCGTTTTGTCTCGGCATATTGATGATGATGCAACTGCATTTATTTCCGTTGGTTCTGTTGTTCGTTCTACGATTTCATTAAAAAAGACGATTGAATTTTTCATGTTTTCTTTTCTTCGACATATATTTACGATACGCAAAAGGAATGTTTTTTTTTTATCTTTGAAGTGATTAGTTATGCAAAAAAAAAATCTGTTTTGATTCATCATATTAAAATTCCATCGTCATCATGACTTGTGATTGTTTTCCAAACGTCATATAAACGCACAGTTTTTCTTCTTCTTTTCACAGATTTATCAAATAATAAAGAAAATGGGTTTACTAACGCAAGGACATCCGTTAAATTGGGAAGAAACAAAAAAATATGCACAATTTATACGTGAACATGGTATCGAACAATTTATTCATATTTATGAAAAACTTAAAGATCGTCGAAATGATTGTCTCAAATGGGGTGATGAAGTATGATAAAGAATTTCAGAAAAAACTTTTGATGAAAAATGAATAATTTTATCGTAATATATTTGCATTCAGGTTGAATTTCTTATGGTACGTTTTGATCATGAAAAGAAAAAAGTACAACTTGCTCTAAGAGCTCATGAAATTTTACCCACTCTTATGGAACCTGAACATCAAAATCCTAAGTAAAGATTAAAATTAATAATAAATTAATTGAAAAAAAAAAATCACAATTTTTATATTCAGTGATTGTATAACATTATGGCGGCCAGAATATGCAGTAAGTAAAATAGACGAACATAATCAAATCTATCTTATTTGTTTTACTGTAGGATTATATGATTGAAGGTACACCAGGTCAACCCTATGGACATTTGCCTGGACATTTTAATATGGTGGAAGCGAATATGCGCTTACGGTAAATCTTAATAGTATTATTAAATAAAGAATAAAAAATAAATGTTTTTCAGCCGACAACAAGGTCAAAAATTACTTGGTAAAGATGAGTATGTTCTAAGCACTTCAAACTTTCCACGGTATGAGTTTTTCTCGAAAACAAAAATAATCAATTTTAGAAGAATTTAATGTTTTTGATTAAATAGAAATGGATGTTCTGATTTTACTTGGCCTGTGCACAAACCAACACCAAGTACATCAGCATCTGCTTCATTGTTTTTTCCAGATGAGGTCATTTTTCCAGATCATCCACGTTTTAAGTAATATAATAAAATGAATCAATGATTATGATCATTATTAATTATTCTATCTTCTTCAGAACATTAACACGAAATATTCGTATGCGACGTCAATCTAAAGTTGCTCTTAATGTTCCCCGTACGTACAATGACACTAAATAATCTTTTCATGAATTATTTTTCTTATCATAGTTTTTATTGATAAAAATACTCCTCGACCATTCATTGAAGATTTATCAATATATGGTCATGATAATGATGCTAATGAATCAACTGCTATTGAGGATCATATTTATCTTGATGCCATGGGTTTAGGCATGGGTTGTTGTTGTTTACAAGTTACATTTCAAGCCCAATCAATTGATGAAGCACGTTTTCTTTATGATCAATTAACTCCATTAACTCCTATTATGGTATATATTGCTCAATCCTATTTTATTTCCTAATTTTCTTTTTGTACTTTTTTAAAGTTAGCATTGAGTGCATCATCACCGATATGGCGTGGATATTTAGCTGATATTGATTGTCGATGGAATGTATTATGTGCTATGGTAGATGATAGAACACCTGAAGAACGTGGCATTGAAGTAAATAGTTGAAATTTCATTACTCACAATAATTTTCTTTTGTTGTAGCCATTAAAACATGAGCGATTTCGTTTATCTAAATCTCGTTATTCAAGTGTTGATTGTTATATTTCACCGGATAGTGCTATGTATAATGACATTGAAATTGTTCAAGATGAAAATGCTTTTCATGAACTTATTGAACATGGTAAGATGAAATGAATGAAAAAAGCTTTTGCTATTGTTTTTAATTTCATTTTTCTTAAGGTATCGATCATCTATTAGCTCAACATATAGCACATTTATTTGTTCGTGATACAATAACTGTGTTTGAAGAAAAACTTCATCTAGATGATACAAAAGATACCGATCATTTTGAAGTAAAATTTCTTCTTTTTTTTTCTTTTTGATTAATGATAAAGTATTATTATTCTTAGAATATTAATTCAACTAATTGGCAATCTATGCGATTTAAACCACCACCAACTAATAGCGATATCGGTTGGCGTGTAGAATTTCGACCAACAGAAGTAGAAATTAATAATTAAAATTATTTTTTTATTGTCTAATCATATTATTCTATCATATAGTTACAAATGACCGATTTTGAAAATGCTGCATTAGTTACGTTCATCGTCTTATTAACACGTGCAATTATGACATATAATTTAAATTTACTTATTCCAATATCAAATGTAAGAAATAAAAGCATAATAAATAATGATATAATGGTTATTTGCTAATAGGTTGATGAAAATATGCAATCTGCACAACAACGTGATGCAGTTCAACATCAAAAATTTCATTTTAGAAAATGTCTTTCAACTGGTACATAACTATCGTATTATGTTATCAATTCTTTATTATTTGTTTTTTTTTTTTGTTTTAATTAAGTGAAAACACCTGATACACCATGTATGGCATCTGTTCAAAAATCTCTTGTGCAAGAAAATGAATGTGAACATCGTCTTATGACAATAAATGAAATTATTAATGGATCTGTAAATATATATATCTTTTGATATATATAGATAATTAATAAAATCATTTTTTTTAAATTTTAGAATGAATTTGTTGGCCTATTGAAAGTTATTCAAGAATATTTATCTAATATTGAAGTAGATGCTGATACACGATGCACTATTAATCAATATTTAAATCTGATAAGTAAACGAGCAGCTGGTATGCCAAAAATAATTTTTTTTTTTTTCGTATTAACGAAAATAAATAATACTTTTAGGTAAGTTGATGACGAATGCATCATGGATGCGATATTTCGTTACGAATCATCCAGCATATAAGCATGATTCAGTTGTAAATGATGAAATCACTTATGATTTATTATGGCAAATGAAAAAAATCTCAGCTGATGAAGAAGAATGTCCTAAAGTATTACCTCGAATGTCATCAAAAACGACACTTGACATTTCTGCTGCTGTTGAACAAGAACATGAATTAGAAGCAAAACGATCGTTAGTGAATCGCCATCATCAAGAATAAACCGACTTAAAAACATATTTTTTTTTGTTCTATAAAATATGTAGTCTTTCACAAAGGACACTTTCTTCTACTTGCGTAAAATGTTTCATCTTTTGCTATTCATATGTATGCTCTCATGTATTATCTGATCTTCTGTCTTCGTTTATTCTTTTGAATATTTCTCATGTGTTATCCTGTTTTAGGTAGAGATGGAAACGTTTATATACAGTGCTATTATTTTTGAGTAGAGAATAAGAAATAATGGTTGAATATGGTGATGAGTACATTTAGAATTATTTGACATTTTTACAACTGAAAAATGAATTGATGGATGTGTTTCATCGAAAGACAAGTTATTATCCATACTTTCAGATTCGATAAGTTTATTTATTTTCTCGTTTTGTATAGAGTAGCTACGATGAAGTGTTCAAGAATTTAAAGTAATATAAAAAGAATTGATCATTAGGATCTCAAATGTTTTTAATAAATAAGAATATGACAAATCGGTTGAAAATCAAAAAAAACACATGGAATAGTCTGCAAATTTTAAAAGTTCTCTGACAAAATTCTTCTCTTGAGATTTTCTTTTATCTTTGAAAGAATTTCCATGATCTCATTGAGGATTATGCTAGAAATTGAAGCATTTGACAAAATTTTCTTTTTTAACTTTATATATTCATGCTAATTAGCATCATCGAAGAACTCTAAACACAAATTTTTAGTGCATTTTGTTGAAATGATAAAAATTTAGCTCGGTTGGACATTGAAGCTATAACAATGTGTTCAGTTGAAGATTATCATCAAAAACTGTGTATATGAAGTTGAACTTTTAAAAATCAGAACAAACAAAAAAAAAATTTTCATTTAACACATCGAATAATGCAGCATTCAAAGCTGAACAAAATTAGCTAGTTATATGATATTTTTCCAGAATTATTTGGCAAATACTGCTCATGATTAGTCATTTTTCGAGTGAAAAAATATGTCGATTATGTACAGTGAATTCACTACCATTCAGTCACTGAAAGAAATCCGACGCCGATTTTTCTATATGTGATGCAGATTCTTCCCCTCTATAAAATAGTGAAAAAATAATCTTAAAAAAAAGTTTTATCTTGACGTAAAATATTACTAACATTGGTAACCAAGGCGACAGTATTTATAGGGAAAATATATTATGGATGTTGTCTTTCGACAAAAAAATAGAACTTATATTAACTAGAGACCATCTTGAGTACTTTTCACATAGATATGATGTATTTCAATGCAGATGTGTTCTATCAAAATAAAGAATCAATATTTGTCGTATTTTATGACGATAAGAGTGATTAGCTAATCTTAGACAGTGATAATATCACATGAAAATATCTACAAATTCAAGAAATGAGAATGAACAGGATTAATTGTTTCTTCTTTTTTTTCTTGAATTTATTACCAAATTCAATGTAATATCGTAGATTAATGAGTGGAAGGAAATATCAAAAGAAAGAGAAAACTTTTCGCCAGCCATGTGATCTTAATATGTTTCTATTGTTCTTTATTATCGACATTTGTGAATTATGCAATCTATATATAGCTATACTTTTGCATCAACAAAAATGTGACAACAATTATTCATATTGTTAATCAATCATAATGTCAATACATGAACGGTAATCAATATTGCTTTACTGGTTGTTATGACAGTTGTTTATTCGTCTCACTTGGCTTGAACGCATCTATCAGAATCGAAATATCAAAAAGTAACAAAAATATGTTGTTCTCATTGTGAAATTGTTTTCGATGTAATGCTTTTAAGCGCTGATTTGTGTTTTTTGAATATCACTTTAATGGTAACATCATTTTTGTTTGTTTTGAATATCTTTTCAATTCGGAGTATATTATTGAAGAGGTTCTATGGAAAATGAAGATCTTCACTATCAACTATGTTTTGATGTGAGTGGCGAGAGAAAAATTTTCCGATTTCAATTAAATTATTGTGCTGTAAAATGAAAATTGTAATCAATTTTGAAGATTTTGTCTACTAAAAATCTCCTAAAGCAATTACTAGGTTGACTTTGTTTCACTAAAATTATATAAGGCTCGAAACATTTTTCATTGCATATTGGTGTAAGGATATGTGGGTGTTGATGTAAATAACTGTGAGTGCGACCAGATGAATGTCTTCTCTTGAAGTACGACTACATCAATACATCCACACTAATGTTTATGACTGAAGACCATAATGTACCCATCGGTCGCCATTGTCCTAGGATCTATGCTCGCAATTCTTTAAACAGAGCAAGGAACCAAGGTTAAAATTTACACTATATTTTCTTTCATTTGTTTAATTGATAGATAGCTTTACGTCTGTTTTTTTTCATGCATTAAACAATAGTCCTTCATTGTTCGTTAATGAATATTTTTCTGTTTGAATATCATCGAAATTGGTGATAGTCATAGTCTTTGTGTTTGTAAAAATTGAAATTTGCTCATTTCACTGTCACCAAGCAAATATATTTTGCGAAAAGGATCGTCACTATCCTTAAAGAGACTAAAGAAATCTTCTTGGCAAGTACACCGAAAGATTTCCTTAACAAGATTAGCGTTGCAATTAAATAACACAATGAATATGCTTGTGTTTTTAAGGAACTCAACAATTTATAATCATTCAAGTGATTCGGCATCCCATGGCGCAGTTGGCTAAATCATTTCGTAGAACTTATTCAAAGTCTTTAAAATCCTAATATTCTTCAATAGTAATAGAGTCTGAAATCGTATTACCCTTATCAAGAAGGATGGCCAAAACGGAGACATATTTGCTATATATGACGAAATACATGCCTTACTGATGAAGTTTTCTGTATTATCGGCTAATGAACGAGGAGCAATCGCTGAATATAAAATGATATGCCAAGGATTTGATTTGGTCGAGGACAAAACACATGATACCAACCCTTAAACGCATATCATTCATTTGAACAAATCAGCTACACTGGGTACCACCATCGCAGAAATATTTGACGAAACATGTTCAATTTTGAATGAGGGTCTGTAAGCGATGGTGTGATTACCCGCATCTAAATCTAAATTATAGTGACCGTGCCACCCAATACACATACATCAGCATCGATCTTTACTTCAATGTCTAAGCATCATTCATCATCGGTCTGCTCAAAAAGTCGAATTCCAAGTTCACAAAACTCAAGCCAATACCCATAATGAACCAAATGGTAAGTCTCCTTATCTAGCTTGACCTGAAGTCTACACGGTTGAATGATTGATATGAACAATGTCTTCTTCATCAGTATTCAGATTTCTACATACTCAAATTTGGAAAATCTTTTCGAAAGACAAGCAAACTTCAGAACCTGTTGAAAACAACAAAAAAGAATATGTTAGAAAGTTCACCCATCCATACAATAAATAACCTCAACTCTAAAAACTGTCTCTCGAAACTTCAACATTGAAAAAAAATTTCTATAACTTATTTTTATTTGAAAAAACTAGACATTTTCATCACCCATGTAGATTATCGAAAATCATATGAATCAATATGGAAGAAAAGAAAAGGAATCGGCGTGAGTTTCAGCGATTTTTTTTCCAAATTGTGATAACTTTTTATAATTCCATTTAATTGCTTATATTTTCATAGTGATAATTCCGCAATCGCTGGAAGATAAGCCTAAACTTCATAAAACCAATCCTCTTATGATTCAAGTAATAAATGATGAACAAAAATATGTGTAAGATGTAGCAAACATTCAAACAGATAGCCAACATCTACAACCACAGTCACAACTACATCTCCCCATATTCAGAAAGAGCAAATTTTCTCACGATGTTTTATTTTCATCATCTTTTATAAAATATTTGAGGAATAAATATATTTGTAAAGAAATGATATTGTAGAGCTTTGTAGAAGAAATATTTTGAAAAAAAAACAAAGGTAAGTGGTGTAAATAGTAAGGGAGAGAGCAAGATAAAATGCTAATCGAGCATTCTTTCTGTTGTTTGTGTTAGAAAAAAGTCAATTCCACTCACTGTAAAAAAGTGTGTTCAGAAGAAAAAATGGAAATCGAAAAGTAACGTAAGATACTCTGATTTTGCGTGTCTTTGCATGAGTGTTTCCCTCTACGTCGGAATCCGTATTATTGTCTCTCTATGACAATAATACGCGACAGAAACCAAAAAATACCATATATATGACAATAAAGGAAACTTGAGTCTTCCTACCGACTTAGAGTGTGAGTATGAGTGTGGGATAGAAAGAAAATTAAAAAAAACCCGCCAACATTCACAGCCGCAGCACCACATCAATATTTCGAATGGAAATTAATACACCGTCAAAAATCGCTTCGGTTTTTACTCGAAAAATGAGCATTCATGGATAGTATTTGACAAATAACTCTGAATCAATCTATGAATATACTATGTAAATAGAATATTGTGCTCAGCTTTTGACACTATCATTTGATATGTCACATGAAAAATTTCATCTATATGCTGTCACCTTCAAAAGGTCAACTTTATATAAACAATTTTTGATGATCATCTTCAAATAAATTCGTGGTCAGTGAACTAATGTTCAATGAGAGAAACTTTCATCAACTCAACGAAATGCGCTAAAAATTTGGATTTATAGATCTTAGATTTTGCTGATTAACATGAAAATGTGAAACTAGAAAATAAAATTTTTATAAGTGCTTTGATTTTTTTATGCTTTTCATGAATGCTCTCTTAAGATTCAACTTAGTTTTTCCATCCAGGATCGATGATTTCGATTTTCAAAAATGGTCTCTTCTGGTGGCATTATGGAGATAATATTTGAACGGGCAAACCGATGCAACTCTCAACAAATTTTCCACATATTCCACTGTATTGATTCAACACTCTTATTCTAAATAAGGAGTAAGTTCTCGCCAATTTTAAACGCTTATTAACCTTTAATTATAAAAAAAAAAAACAATGTAAATTTAATATTTATTTATTGTCTTTAGTAGAAAATAGATTAAAGAAAGTCACAATAAATCCTAGAGAACGAATTAAAGATTGTTATTTATCGAGAATATATTGATAGTATAATTGTTCCATGTCAGTATCGTCAAACATCGGTTGCATATTGACCATTACAATTTCTGAAAAACCTTCATCCACTGTTGGTTTTATGTAGCGTTTATTGACACTCATGATAATAATTTCGTTGACATCTTTGTGAGCCTTATCTGCACCGATCATTTGTCGAAACTATTTAACAAATTGTAAATAGTTGTTATTGTACCAAAAATAAGTTGAAAAAAAGAAGCCTACAAAGAAAATCTTTCAACTGATTCACCGCTTTTGAGTCTGGATTATATGCATCATTTAGCTTTAAAAAAAAACTATGAATATCTTCAAAAGAGCTCGAGCCTTTAGCATCATTGTTGAATGTCGATTTGAAAATTCTCATTGAGACTGGTGTTACCACGACGAATTTATTGTCAGAGTTTCAGACCTTTTCTTTGTTCGTATCCTAAGATACGCCTATGACAAACGAACGTCTTTTACGTCGCTCGTATGTCTCAGTAGACTCGATGTTCGTATACCAGGATAGGAATAAATCAAAAGCTTTGAAGCGCTCATTATAAATTATTATCGCTAAGGCCTGTCTCTGTGACAAGTATCAAATCGAAATTCGAAATTTTTTCTTCTTGCGTTCATGACGAAGGCCACGGTATCAACTTGAAAAATATCATGAAAATGCCATATCTCTTCAACAATAAGCTAAGAATCCGAATTCTTTCAAGATATTCATCGCTCACGGTGGTCGGCATGATATACATAGTTTTCACTCGAAAGGGATCAATCAGTTGAAAAACTTCTCTAGGTAGTAAAGTGATTCTGCATGTCGTTTATAGGATTTAATTCCTTCTAATGTTGACTTATGCTGGCTAGAGCCTACTAGCGCCTATGGAAGACTATAAGATTTTGAAAAACAGTTGTTATCAGTACTTTTCTAATTAGGATACTTGAAACGAGAATACTATTTTTTTTTCATGCCCTGAGTCTATTTTCGAAAAAAAAGAGTCGAATTTTTTTCAGTTGGTAAAAACTCAATAGAATCTGATGGCTGCTACTTCAACTGTTGATTCTTTAAATAAAGCATATAACATACAAGATTATTATGCTTGGCATGTTCAGCTGACACATTCATTACAAAACATCGGCATGGAACATTGAATTTCTTGGCCACCTCAATATATCTATATAAAACCGATAACAAAATGAAATATATTTATGAACAGAATAAATGAAAGTTCTTAATTCACCTTTGGCGAGATTCTTTATCAGGATTAGTATTATCAACTACAACACTTCGATTTTTAGTCAAAGCTATTTCAGCTATTTTTACACATTGTTGCCAGGTACCTAATTCATCCTAATGAGAAAAATTGTATGACTTAATCATTTACAAAATAGTCATTTTTATTATCTACTTACTCGATTAACATATTCATATTTATGTGGAACAATATACTTATTTACAAACCAACTTTTGCCCGCTAAATAAACAAAACTCTAAATAGAATTGTCTCATTAGAACACATGATATCACCTACATGCTGGAAGACCACACATGACAACTATTTCAGTTTTATTTGATGTCAATTTAGCAGTAGCTGGTTCAAGAAGTGATTGAATCGATCGAAGAGATTTCTAAAAGGTCATGAACATATGTAATTTATCTTTAATTTAAAAAAAAACATACAGGATCGAACTTTGGCATTTCATACGTAGATTTACTAAGTCCAAGAAAATATTCTTCCGGTGTATAAAATTGCAAACCAATATTAGCAGCAAACTTAATGAAAGCAAGTTAAAAAGATTTGAGATATATGTTCTTTTTTGTCTTACAAGACGATCTGAACATGAATGATCTTTTTTTGCTTTAGCTCGCCATTTATCTGGACGACCGGCAGCATCTAAAACAAATGAGAATAGCTAGTTGATAAAAAAAAACCAAGATGTTTTGAATTTCCTACCACCCACGTAAAACGATTTAGATTTATCAATTTTAATACCATCATTATACTAAATAGATCGTACAAAAAAGAATTATTTTCTGAGTAATATGTTCCTACCTTTGATTCCAGAAGTAACCATGATCCAGTACATGGTTTTCGATAACGACCTGGATGAATAGCAACAAAAACCTATAAACACCGTTAAAATTCTATCATCAGAAAACAAAAGAATTTATTTTTACTTGAAGAGGAACATTTAATTTTTGTTGAATATATTGAATTTTTTTTCTAAAATTATCTGTTGATGCTGATTTCATTAAACCACGTTGATTAGTAAATATAACTAATTTATAATTATCTGCATATAATTGTTTTAATTTTTTAAAACATGTATCAAAACCAATACGCCAATCGTTTTCATCAGTTGGATATACTTTGCCTGACTTCGTTAAAATTATTGTTCCATCCATATCAAATGCTGCAATCTAAAGTTAAATTATTATTAAGAAAATTTATTTGAAGATGCGTTTTACTTTTTCACTACTAATCACTCCTTTCGAAGTAAAAACTTCAAGACCATCACATGGTTTTTCCCATAAATCTTCAGATGTTGAATTCGATGTCTTTACTGGATTTGAAGTTGTAGTTGGTAATCTAGATTCAATTACAGATAGATGAAGATTAAAGAAATTATTAAATAAAAAAAAAAAACATACGATTGATTGGCATTAGCTTGTAAAGCATCTAGTTGTTGCTGTATCCAAAACAAACGATTTTCTTCGGATGAATCATCAATATTTTGATTAGTAGATCCATCTTTTCTCGGTTGTTGTTCTATTTTCTTCATAGAACTTTTTTGTTTTTTAGATGACGTTTCATCATCCTCCGTATTTTGTCTTTTCAACGTCGATTTAACTGGCGAAAATGATTTCATAAACTTATCACCGATACTTGAACGTTCAATTCGAACTGTATAACAATGTTCATCTTCTAATAAATGAAGTATATCTCCATTATTTAATATTTGTTTATCATTGGTGCTTATAGGTTTGTGATTTATAAATGAAGTATTTGTACCGAGTTGCTTAATATAGACTTGATCGTTTTGAATATGAAGAGAAACTATAAAACAAAAAATGGAATTTAATGAACAGATTAAAAATTAATTCTGTCCACATAAGCAGAAACAAAAGAAAATTTGATTAGTTGGTTCAATATTTGTAGGCATCATCTAAAGATTTCAATATTTGAAAGATAAGATCTCACGAAAGAATATTTTCGTGTGTAACGCATCGATCGAATCGAAAACCTTATCTATCAATAGAATCTTAATGAAACTAGAAATTCAAAAGGATTCATGTTCTTGTTCTATAGATTTCAATTGAGAAGAACTTTATTGAATCTTCGTTCATTGGATATGGATGTTATACAAGATTATCGAACAGATTGTTGACCTGAAACCTGAACTGATAGACATATCATGAGATTCTTAGAATATCCTAACACTTTTGTCTCAAAATAAATGCTTTCTTCCCAAAATATTGAATAACTTACTAGTCATTCAATCTCATAGGAAAATACTCAACATTAACTTTTCTTCAGCATTCAATATCTCGAGTGAAAACATTTCTTTGTACTGAAACTTTTTTCGAACATTGAAATGAGCTTGAAATCTACCAATGTGTTATAAAGACTGAAGGAACTTTGTTATGATTATATTCGTTATTAACATAGTCGGTAACCTATAATCAAGTGACTTTTGTTAAAAATCAACTAATTAGATGAAAACATTCTCTCGTCTGCGCAGTTCAAAATCTCTTATTTTTCACACTCCATAGAGCAAAAACATGCTGTTCATATATCAATTTTCCAATAAATATCGAACACAAAGTGCTTGATTTATTTCGAATCCGTGTTATATGTACCTTGTTGTCTAGCACAACGTGTTGATTTTATTTTACTTTGATCATTACGTCCAACAATTAATGATGTTGATGAATTAGAATCTTTTGATTGTATTTGCAAATTAGGATATATTGAGTTGTCTGAAATCAATTTGACGATGATCGACGATGACATCTTATACAAAAGAATTTCTTAATCTAGATAAGAATAGTTTTTAGAAATATATATATATTTTTCAAAAAGAAAAAGATTTTAACAAAAATCTGAACAAGCAAAAATAAAAGAAGAAAAAAAGAAGAAGAACAAAAAGAAATATTCAATTATTCATTATTGTTTGAATCCATTCATCTTGATTTAATAACATTGAATCCCAATTAGTCATTGTTTGAGTTTCATGTGATGATATTAATGGATATGTTTGTGTACCATTATCAATTAAATCAAGTAAATCCATAGCATCAAAATCAAATAAAACTGATGATGATGCTGAATCATTTTTTGAAAAATCATCAAGCAAAAATTCATCAAGAAAACATGATGTACCAACTGATTCTTGATATGGTAGTAAATCATTATTATATTCATTCGTTGGTTGTTCTAATGGATATTCAGTTATTGTTTGCATTTGTGTTGATGTCATTGATATAGGTAATGTTTGAACAATAACACTATTATTATTATCCGATAATTCTGATGGATAATCAAGTAAATTTGATACATTACCAACTGTTTGAATACACATATCAGAACGTGTTGGAGTAAGTATTTGAGTTTCCATATCATTAACAGGAACATTTTCCCATTGTGTCATAGTTGATGCATTGAATGTATTAGTTGGCATTGTATAAAAAGTAATTGATGATGATCCATCATCTGTTATTGTTGATGTCATGGTAGTTTTTTTGGTTGAATTTCGTATTCGTTTTTTATAAACTCTTATACGACTTTGTGTTTGACTAGATTTTTGTTCAGTTGTTTTTATTGGCATTGTACGAAATAAATTTAAATCAGTATTTGTTAATGAACAACATTCTGTACCAACAGAAACACGTGTATAAGTTTGAGTTGCTTTATCACTATCTGATTCGCATATGAGAGTAGGGTCAATTATAGAACAAGAAGATGATGATGAGGATGTTGATGGTGGCATAGGAACTTTTTCATTATTAAAATTTTTTAATAATTCTAATGCAAGTGGATTTATTGTGACAGGCTGATGTGAAGGGATGTTTTGACGAGAAAGTTCAATTTGATCTGATGGAAGTGGACGACGACGATTTGGTCGTTTTCGACGTTCACTTGGTTTTGATAACGAAGAAGGAGTACTAAAATAAGAAATCAGTTATATAATTTAGAATACTATACAGTAACCGTTGTCAAAACTAACCGAGAATTTTAGGTTTGAAAGTCTTTAGGCCGTGATAACTGACAGTTCAATACTTATGATTAGCGGAAAAGTTTCTTTCCAGTATGTACAGCAGTAGACAATAGCTTCCATTCCCTTGGATTTTAGTCACCAAAAATATTGAAGGTCTGAAAACTTGTGCACATGTGCTCCAGCAAAACTTTTAGCTTAGTGACACTCTATCTCATTCTGATTGCTTAAACTCAAAGAGAACGATGAAATGTGAGACACTAGTATTATTTTCAGGTTTATAATTCTACAAAAGAATGTTTTTGTGAGTCAATCGACGCCTTATTCTATTACGCTTTGTTTCACCTATTTACATCACTAATCTGATAGAAATTAATCAAACTGTTCGAGAACAGTGGCTATTTCACTGCAACCATTGGTGAGGAGTAATACCAACTATTGTTCTTCATAAACCAATAATTCAGTAATATTTTAACGTATCGAGGTCAAATTCTAAGCGAATTTTTCTCTACAATTGAGCATTATTGATTTAGAACTTTCAGAGGTAATTCTTATATTTGAGAGAAACAGTATATCGATGATCAACATGTCGGCATCGAGAATTCAGGAACGTTAATATTCTAGCAGATGAACTCATATTTTGGATTGAAAAAATATCATAGACTTAACTACATCGGCTCTTAATTCAAGAGAAAACAGCAAATTCTCCAACTATGTCTAAGTTCCATTTTGGATTCTCACCATCTAGTATTGAGCAAGGAAAATTCCTTTTAGCGAAGAAGAATAAGAGTTCGCTGATCAGTTTAAATAATGAATCTATTTCAACGAACTAGAAAAGTCCTCAAAAGCTAATTTTTCTTACTTTGTCACACTTGGACCATTTTGAGATTCACTACTAACATCTGCATGGTTTTTTAATTGATGACGTCGTAAACTTGTTCGATTTTGAAATTGTTGATCACAACTCGAGCAAGAAAATGGACGATGAATACCACAACTATAAAAAACAAAAAATAAAATGATTTTATTCTTAAACAGAAAAAAAAACAAAATCTCATATTTATTTCTACAAACATTTTTTCATGTGCAATTAAATCTTGATGAAGACCAAATGATTTGAAACATTTTGAACATTGCTCTTTTTTCAAACCATGTTGTCGTAAATAATGCTATGATGTTAAATTCTTAATTAAAATACTCAAGTTTTATTTTTCACTTACAAGTCGTACAGCATTAAAATTTGAAAATGATAATGATGGAATACGATCTTTTTTACAACGACAATAGAATGTACAATCTTCTATTGGACAATGATATCGTCCTATACGTGATGTATATTTATTTGAAGCCTATAAATATTCATATAAATATAAATGTTTGTTTATGAAACAAATTTATCAATCAACGAACAGTTATTATGCCTGTTTCTTTATGATACATTTGAAGATGTACATTAAGTGCCATGATATTTTTAAATAATTTTTGACATTTTTCTAATGAAGGATTTTTTTCTTTATGTGGACACTTAACTTGACTTGTTTCATAATTAAGGTCATGCGTTGTTGGTATAATACATTCAAATGATAAGTTTACTGTTAAGTCCTTATGGTATTGATTCATCTGACAACTTTTCATTATAGTTAATTGAATTGATAATATAAAATATGCTTTATTTTCTTTTGGTGTTATAATAAATATAAATTTTTCCTTTTTCGTCTAATTTACCAGCAACACAAAAACCTGAAAATAACAGAAAAGATTTTTATTTAATATGAACATCTGCTATATGATAGGATATTCTCTATGGAAATGTCAAATCCATCTAATGGTTTTTTCTTTAGACCTGTGAGAATATGTTTGAACTTTTGAGTTTGTAGACTACGTGTTTGTCCTTTGATAGATCTTTGGTTGATAAATGATGGAAGCTTAAATGAAATAAATACGGATAATAAATTGATCTATAAGGGATATAAATTTTCAATTGAGATTTAGGTCAATGGATTTTTTTGATAATAATCAATAGTACGTCTATTTTCGATATTTGAACTACAAAAACGATGATTGAACTCATATGGATACCTTTAGTAGGATATACGATATAGATAATTGTTTCAAAGGTCAAAAATAAGTCTTTATTTAGTATGTCAATTAGGAGCTATATATCAAGAACTTCTAGGAAATGAGAAAGAGGAGTGGTCAGCCGCATCTGGATATTTGGTTACTGATTACATTTTCAAAGCATTTTTTATAAAATAAATTCTTTGATGCATCGTATAGATGCGTTTCAAGGAATGCGAACCTTACATTAGCATCACCAAAACTAATAATATCAGTTGTTCAATATGTTGAAGAAAAAAATAGTATATTAGAGTAAATTTGCTCTTTCATAAAAAGTCGTTAGCAAAGTTCCTGCAGGATTAAAATGTGAAATGCGATAGAATTGCTGTTGCTAATTACAGAGAGATTGTTTTATTCTATATGTTTTAGAGCGCAGTTTTTCACCATCTCTTTATTTTATTCCTCAGAAATGCTATAAGAAAATAGTTCATATATCTTAACAGCGAGTTATTAATATAAGGTCTATGAATATATTGTGTGCTACAAAATTTTGGAAACTAAACATTCAAGGGTACAAGTGTCAGTTAAAACCGAACATTTCCGAGTAAGTGGAGAAGAGTCATAAAATACAATATTTACCTGAATGTCCTTTATAGATGATCCCCTTTCATTATTTAAATGTACAGCATATGTTCTAGCTTTGAATTAGGACTATCGATTCATTAACAAATTATTGATATTTGCTTCATATTCAACACTCGAGTTTATGTCCAATGCTCTTGTGGCAATTTGCAATCCATTGAACTAGTAGACTTATTTAGGACATGGTGTTGTGCACTGACCATAATTCGATACTAACTATGTCTCTCTAGCTTCATCTTCTTGGCTTCTAACTTAGGCTAAGAACATATAATGTATATAAATTATCAAATTGATATACTAAATAAAATCTTATCATTGATATCTGAAACAATATTTTGTACTAGATGACTTGTTTAGTTAAAATAACTTAAATAAGATCATACTGAATACTATCAAAAAACCCGATATTGCAATAGACATTTATTTTTCTTGAAACAGTATGTAAAATCCAAAATTTAATAATACATTAGTATCTGTCGATTTAACATTTTGACCAAAAAAACTTCTTTCATTGGGAGTGATTCATGAAATGAATCAATTATAAGATCTTACCTTACTGTTGCATATGAAACTTGCCGAAAATATTCAACTAAGTATAAATCAAAACTCGTCATTGAACATCTAAGAAAAAAAATAATTAAAAATAATTAATTCGAGTAATTTTGTTCACAAATATTTTTTCTTCTTATCTCAATGAATAACAGAAAAAGAAACAGAAAAAAAAATATTCTCTGAGCATTTAAATGTAGACAAAAATAAATTAAAGCAAATATTGCGATCAATGATTGATTAAAAGACAAAAAAAAAAAAAAGGATTTCAAGATGAAGAAAGTCTTATTGGTTTACTAAATAATACTTTCATATCATCAGATAAATTTTCTTCAATAATTATTTTCAATTTCATTTTTATTCTTTCTATATAATCATTCTTTAATTTTTGATCAATTGTCATTAATAATTCATCATTTTTTGTTTCTAAACGTTGAACTACATCTTTTAATTTAATAACTAAATCAATTAATTCAATTTCTTTTAATTGTGACAAATTTAAATCTTGTTCTAAACGACAATGTGCTATTGTTTCAATATATAATGAATA